GAGGACGGCTGGTGGTGATCCTCCCTCCCGTCAGTGTAGACGGCAGAGGATGGCTGGTGGTGATCCCCCTCCCATCAGTGTAGACGGCAGAGGACGGCTGGTGGTGGTGATCCCCCCTCCTGTCAGTGTAGACGGTGGAGGGCGGCTGGTGGTGATCCCCCCTCCTCCTGCCCCCTCAGCCCCCTCTCCCACTGTCCAGCTTGCATGTGTGTGGACACAGCCAGGTGCTCTCTGAGCCCCATGCAGCCACCCTGTGCACACAGGCCCACCCCGCTGGACACCGGAGCCCAGGCTGAAGCAGGGCCACAGCCAACGTTGGAGCAGATGGCGGGGCAGGCCCACAGTCCCAAAGCCACCCTGGTGCCAGCCGCGGAACTGCCCAGCGCCACGTGTGGCTGAGTGCTCTTGACTGAGCTCAGGCCTTGCCCTCACTGCCTTCCGGTCCTTCCTGCCTACCTGCTCAGGGACTATCGGCCCCTAGCACCGTTCGCCTCGTCGGGCAGAGGTCCATGGGGGCTTTACCATGTCTGGTGTCAGCCACACGTCCCCCCAGAGGGTCCTGCAGAGATAGGGGGCCATCCCGGCCGACCGCCCTCCCCAGAGGCTCAGACGCCTTGGCTGCCACCGCCTCCATCCACAGCACATCTGCCGATCGCGGGTGGGGGCTGTGGTCTGAGAGGAGGCTGCAGGCTGCTGGTGACCTGCAGTTTTTATTTTCCAGAGTGCCTCTCTGTGTGCGCTTGCCTGTCCCTCCACATCAGCTCCAATCTCTCCCTCTCTGTACCGCCCACCAGCAGGGCGCCAGCCCCACCCGATTTATCTGGGTCTCAGACTTGCGGGGGCCTGGCGCTCAGGGCTGCTGAGCAGTCTTTGAAGTCCCACTTCCTTTGAAAAGAACAGACCAGAGAAGAGGAAAGAAACCCAGCTGGGAGGGGCTGACGTGCGGGAGGCTCTGAGCACGGCCAGGCCTGGTGCCTGTCTGGACGGTGAGGAAGGACAGATGGAGGCCTGTGCGTCCGGCAGGGCGCGGAGGGCTCAGGGACTCCAGCACAGGCCACGGCCGCCACCAGGAGCGCGTCCTTGAAGCAAAGCATGCTTGGCCGTGTCTTTTGGCTCCTCTGAGCCTCAGTTTCCCGCCGTAAAATGACCTGGGAGGCACAGGAAAAAGGGTAGCAGAGGAAGCCCCGGAGCGTTAAAGGGCTCATCCTTTCCTTCCACGCCTTAATTTCATAAAAGGAAAGCACGCTCGTTGTAGAAAGATTCAAACGTGCGGTCTGAATTTTTTCCTTGAATGTCCAGGGTGTAAGGCGATGAGTGTGTGTTCTACGGGGGTGGTTTCTGCATGGCTGCTTCATGCGTGTGTCCCTCGGCTTCCGTTTCTCTCCACAGTCCGTGCTGCGGAGACGGTTCTGGATCATCGTTCACACAGCTCTGCATCCTCTCTGGGGGGATGTGCGTGTGTGCGTGTATGTGCACATATCTGTGTCTGTGTTTGCACATATCCGTGCCTGTGTGCACATGTGTGTCTGTGTGCACGTGTGTCTGTGTGTGCACATATGTGCATTTGCGTGCATGTGTGCATTGTGCACGGGTGCATGTCTGTGCTCGTGTATGCGTGTGTGCATATGCACACGTGTGTATGTGCACACACACGCTATTGAAAACGGCGCCGCCGCTGTCACATCCTCCCGTCTGCGTCTTTGTGCCCTCGTGAGTGCCCGTGACAAGGATCTTTAGGAGGAAGTCGCTGGAAGGTCAGAGGAGATGGTGTTTTCGTGCTGTGATTCATGAGGTATCAAGGACACACGTTCTTCTGAAATGTGGGGATGGCTATGTGAGCTCCAAGTGAGCAATGATTGGCAAAAGGGCCCAGGGCCCCCACTGGGGAGGGAGGGGCGGGCCTCAGGCTGTGGCCCCCCTTGGCCTAAAGGCACAGCCAGAGGTGGGGACCGCTGTGGGATCCAGAGGGTGGGCCAGGGTCGACAGATGAAATGCAGGGCTCCCAGGTAAGTGTGAATTTCAGAGAAGCAACAGGCTCAGCGCGTTGCCAGGATTGCATGGGACGTGCTTGCACGCTGTGTTTGTTGCTTATCTGAAGTCTGTGCTTGACTGGGCGTCCTCTCGTCTAAACCTGGCGGAGCCCGAGGCCTTCTCCCCACAGGAAGGCGGGCGGGTGGTGGGGGCAGGGAGCTTGGGCTGAGGCAGGCGGCAGCTGCAGGGCCGGGAGGGGGCCCTACGCCATGCTGGACAGCGGGCCTGGCGGACGGGCTCCACGCCGTGTCCACTGCTCCTTCACCCGGAGGTGGATTGGGAAGAGGGGACAGAGTCAAATCCCGCCCAGTAAAGGCAACTGCCCTCTGGTCAGGGTCTGCATTTCCTGGAGGGGCAGGGGCTGGGGCCCCCAGCTGACTTAGAGTCCAGTACTCCTGCCTCAGAGGGCACCCTGCCGTCCACCCTGGGGCCGTGGGCACTTCTCTCTCTGGTTTGCCAGGGCCTCAGCCGGGCCCAGTGATCTCCACAGCAGAGACTCTTGGCAGCCCCCCAGTGCCTGGACACCAGGCCCAACTCAGCCGTGGCATCGAGGCCACTGGCTTGGGGACAAGGCCATGGTCTCCCTGCCTCCCAGCCAGACTGGAGCCTCGACCCTCTAGAGCCGCCTTGGCCATTCCCACTCCAGCCGCCAAGACCCTGTCCCTCCCTTTCCTTTCGGCCTTTTGTCCCGGAGCCAGGGCTGAGTAGGGCCGAGCCCGGCTGGGCCGCAGATTACACAGGGCGGAATTCTCTGGAAGCTCTCGCAGGGGCGCCTGCAGCGTGGGTCTGGGTGCTGGTGGTGAGGTGTGTTCTGTCTCTGAGAACATCATCCAGAGGCTGCAGAACAGCTCCGTGCAGGTGTCAGGCAGTTCGTGCATCCCCCAAGCTGCTCCCACCGAGAGGCCTCCTCTCAGGCCGTCGCGGGAAACGCCCAGCACCCAGGCCTGTGCCCTTGACCAGCTGATCACGGCCTGGGGGGGAGGGGGCAGCAGATGCTTGGTCACGGCAGCAGGAAGGGACCCAGGACTGAGGGCAGATGGGTAACCGAGGCCGGCCTGTGTCTGCCCCGCACCCCCAATCCAGGGTGGATTCCTTTGGTGCGTGGTTCCCTCTGGCTCTGTCCTGGCTGAAGGTCCAGACTCACTGCTGTGGGGGTGCCAGCTAGAGACATCACAGGGGCACCTTGTGGTCGGTGACAGGGGTCGGGAGCCACCCGAAGGGGCTGTGCAAAGGGAGGAGGGGGCTGGATGAGCCCGGGGGCCTGCGGGCAGGGGCTGTGGGACAAGGAGAGCTAGCAGCCTCCAAGGAGGGGTGGCTGGGAGGGTGGAGTCACCAGCAAGACGGCCCTGCTGGGCTGCGGGGCTTTGGGTCCGAAAGTCTCGCTGTGGGGCCCCCAGCCTGGGAGGGCGCAGGACTCCATCAAAAGCCCAAGAGACATGGCTCCGCCGGGAGTGGGGCCTCTTAGCTGGGGAGGTGCCTTCTGGGAAGACCTCCTGCAGCAGTCTCCCAAGCCAGCCGTCAGGTCAGAGCCCCCAGGGCCCCTGGGCCAGTTGAATCCAGATTCCTGAACCTCACCAGACCCACTGATGGGGCCCCCAGGAGGTTCCCAAGGGCCCAGGTCAGGTCCCAAGTTGAATTGGGGCCTACAGAGTCAGAGGTTAGCCTCCCAGCAGGGGCTGCTACGAGAAGAGGTGGGCAGTGTGGGGGCACGGTCAGCAGTGAGGGGATGCCCAGCAGACAGGGCCCAGCAGGCTCAGCCCTCTGTCCAGTGCCCGTGGGGGTCACGGGGCATTCTTGAGCTGAGGGTGCTGCTGCTGAGAATGGCCGACGGGCTGGGGAGGGAGGCAGTTGCCCCGAACGTGGAGCCCAGGGCCAGATCTTGGGGTCCCTCGCTCTGGGGCTGCCTCACCATGGCCACATGTTGGTGGCTAAAGAGGCGCCACAGGAGGACGGCAGTGTGTCCCCGCCTCACGTCCCTGTGCCCAGCCCTTCTCGGGCTTCATCGCTAACCCCGCGGCCAGTCTGGGCGGACCTCCTGACTTCAGCGCCCTGGCACACCGGCTCCCCCGGCCTGGCTGGCGGTCAGTCTCGGGCCTGGCTTCCGCCCCCGCTCCGGCGGGCCAGGGTCCAGCACTGGGCTCTCAGCCGCCATGCCGTCCCCACAGTCCTCCTCCCGCCGCGCCGGACTCTGCTGCACCAACTGCCGCACGACCCACACGACCCTGTGGCGACGCAGCGCGGAGGGCGAGCCCGTGTGCAACGCCTGCGGCCTCTACATGAAGCTGCATGGGGTGAGTGGGCCACGGGGGGCGGGGCCGGAACGCGGGGGCGGGGCCGGAACGCGGGGGCGGGGCCGAGCAGAGACCAGGCGGGGGAGGAGCCGGCAGGGATGGCGGCCGCGGGGTGCTGAGCGCGACGCAGGTGGCCCCTGCGCTGGGTGCTATGTGTGTCACGCATGGGACCCTGCAGACGGCCCGCACCACACTCAGCGGCAGGGCCTCATACGGTTGCGCCCGTTGTACAGACGGGGCCACTGAGGCTTGAACGTCCAAGTCCCCCCTCCGTGCGCCCCGGTCTCAGCCACTGCAGGCCCCTCCTCACTCGCCAGGGAGGAAGGTGCCCAGCTGGGGTGCACGGCTGTGAGGGCTTGGGCAGCTCCCAGGGTGGTGGGGCGAGGACCAGGCCGGCTGCCACTCCCTGCTGCCCCACCAGGTGCCGCGGCCTCTGGCGATGAAGAAGGAGAGCATCCAGACGCGAAAGAGGAAGCCTAAGGGCACGGCCAAGGCCAAGGGCTCCTCAGGTGGGTCAGGTGTATGGGGCTGGGGCCAGGGGGGCTGGGGCCCGGCCTGTGGGCGCACATTCTCCCCACGGAGTCACCTTTAGTGTCTAAAATTCCACCATTAGAGATTTATATGTTTGGCTCAAGCATCGCCCTCCCCAGATACAAATGCTCCCAGTTCTGCCCTGTGATGACGCTGGTTGGGGGGGTTCGGGTGGTGTGTTCGCTCCCAGCAGTGGGCAGAGTGGGGGGTCGAAGAAGCTGTAGCTGAGTGGGCCACAACCACCCTCACTTGCTGTGTGATTTGAGGAGTCCTGGTACCTCTCTGGGCAGATCTGTAAACGCCTGCCTTTCCCACAGGGTCCGCCACAGGCACCACAACCTCCCCATCGTCTGTCCCCAACTCCAAGAGCTCAGTGGCCACTTTTAAACCCGAGCCCAGCCTGGCGTCCCAGACATGCCCCGGGCCCAGTATCACCTCCCAGGTAAGGGGACGGGAGTGACGGGGCTCCTCAGCTCACTCCTGGGCTCCCCAGGGAGGCCCTCCCCAACTTCCCGACTCCCTCACTGCTCAGACCCATCCAGGCTCAGACCTGGAGCGAGGCCGGCGGCCCTGGTTCTCACGCACCCCTCTATCCTTCCTGCAGGCCTCCAGCCAGGTGGACGAGTCCCTGCCGCCCAGCCACTTGGAGTTCAAGTTCGAGCCGGAGGACTTTGCCTTCCCGTCCACCGCCCTGGGCCCCCAGGCTGGCCTCGGCGGTGCCCTGCGCCAGGAGGCCTGGTGTGCACTAGCCTTGGCCTAGGCCCCAGGCATGCGGCATCTGGGGTGCCTCCCCGGGGCACCCATCTGACCCGCCTCACTGCCGGCTCCTCGCTGGCTCACCCGCCTGCCCACCGAGAAACTGGGCCTCCTGTGGCCTCCGACGCCCACAGCACGGGGCATGCCTTAGTCCAGTGGCGGGAAGACCTCTGCTCAGAGCAGGAGGAAGGCCGGTGGGAGAAGGCTTGAGCCCCCAGGCAGCAGAGGGACCCCCCCAAACCCTACATGAGGCTCTGGACCATGCTGGTCGCTGTGCACGCGGGGCGTCCACCGCCAACTTGAATTCTGGTTCAACACTCGCCATCAACATGTTTACGGGCTCTGTGGTTGGAAGACCCTTGAGCTCACACTGTAAAACCGGACCCCAAGTTCAAACACCGCTCCGGCCTCACCTGGGGTTGGTCCTGCATCCCACCTTTGACAAGGGAGCTGCGGGCACAGAGAACAGTGCCTCCTACAGGGGCAGGGCTGCCAGGATGGACGTGCAGGTCATGCACTGCACAAGGACTCGCCCCTAAGGGGAAGCTGTCCACAGCGAAGTCAGTGTGGACTTTTGTCTATTTATTTGGATGGTTTTCCCAAGGGGGCAGTAAAGGGCTTTGTTCTGACCGAATCAGTGTTGTGACCATGTCAGACAGACGGACTGCGTCTGGGGCCCTGTTTGACCCACACAAAGACACTGTTGGGGCTGATGGGGTGGCCGCGTGTCTCGGCTTATCTGGGCCACCCCACTTAGGCCTGCTGTCCCAGCAGAATGATCAATGGCACACCGTTCACCCACAGAAGGCCCCCACCCCAGTTTGGATGATAAATTTGCTGGTAACACAGCTAGGCCCTGCCCAGGAGAGCTGGTGAGTGATGTCAGGGAGGCAATAGGGAGCGAGGGGGATTGGGGCCCACAGAGAGGCCATGTCCGCACGTCCACCCCACTGCTGCCTTTCACCAACAAAACCTGATTTTTTCAGGGGAGTCAGAAATCTGGATTTCTTTTATGTGAATCTTTCAATGTAAAGCTTTTTTTAAAAAAAAGATTTCACAATTCGATTCCAATTTTTCTAAAACATCTTATGAGCCGATGGAAACAGCTGGGGCCGACCACATGCGCCACCCCGCTTAAACCATTCCTTTGATATTTAAAAAAACGGCCCGTCTCTGGGTTCGCTTCTGGAATGGGTCTGTCCATCTGAAGTCGCCCCTCCAGGGGGTCTTCCACCCAATTTCCATGGATGTTGCCTTTTTTTTTTTTTTAAGCTAAATGACGCCGTAAGAAAGGTTGTTAAATAAAGACCTTGAGCCTTGTTTTCCCACTTTCCCTTTGCCTGAGGAGCCCCACCCCCTCCCTCATCCCTGCCTGTGGGGCCCTGGGCTCCTCCCCCACATGGGTCCCTGGCTGGCGACTCTGACACCCACAACCCGCAGTCCCTGCTTTCAGAAACCATCCCAGCAGCTGCCCCCTGGCCTCACAGGGCCCTTCCCACCCCCTCCTCCCAGGGAGCAGGGGCTGTTGTCCTCTTTCCAGATGTAAACAATCGAATCGACACTCGGAGACACTAGGTCCCAACCCAGCCGATGCAACCCAAGGAGGCTTCCTGGAGGGGTCCAGAGCCTTGAGGGTGGAGAGGAGGGAGCGCCTGGTCCATGAAGCAGGGTCACCGAGGGGAAGGTGGGGACCAAGAGGAAAGAGGGAAGTACCCCTTTCCCGTGTTTTTATTTCGTTTTTCAGGATGTGCAGGACAGAGACGGCTGAGTGCTCCACCTCTGGGCATGGTCCTAGCTGCTAAATTTAAGCCTTTCTCCTGAGTGCCTGGGGCCGGAAGCTGTCAAGATAGGCCTTAATATAGCCGCCGGGCACCCCTTCCTGCAGCCCTTCCTCCCACCAGCCCACCCAGCGCTCTGCCAGCTGGTTGTAAACAACCAGAGACAGGCAGGACAGAGCAGGACAGGGCAGGACAGTCCCCTCCATCAGGGCAGGACAGGCCCCTTAATCAGGGCAGGACAGGGCAGGACAGAGCAGGACAGGGCAGGACAGGGCAGGACAGGGCAGGACAGGCCCCTTCATCAAGGCACTGGGCTCCCCTTCATTTCTCATCGTCTTATCTTGAGAACCTGGGGGGCAAAGGATGCCACAGCACCTCGAAATCCCCTGGGGACCCCACAACTCTCCCTTCCAGTCGTGGGCAGCCTGAAGGGACCAGACCCTCCAGAAATGGAGCCCCTGGAGAGCAGGAAAGGGAAGAGACTCCAGGCTCCCTGCCAGTGGGAACCAGAACAATGTACGGAGCCCAGCTCTTCCCCCCGTCGCTGTTGTCCTAGCTGTGCAGTCGGCTTGTGCCCACCTGAAGGAAGCCCTGCCAGCTCCCGCGCCATCCCCATAATTGGCTGGGGATCCGATCACTGGGATCCATTAGGTTATGACTGACTGATGTTTGGAAGTAGATCACCAGCTTTTCCTCCTAGTCTGTCTTAGTGTGGAACCTCCGTTGAAACCTGTTCAGCATCCTAGCAACATACAAGTCTCCACGACACAGGGTGGTGGCTGCATGTGAGGCATATTGGTGAAGACTTGAATCCGGGTCTCCCGCATGGAAGGCGAGACTCTACCCCCGAACCACCACTGCCCCCCCTCCCTCTTAGAGCCGTGATTTCCTTGCTTCCCCCAGGAAAGCAGAGCCAAGGGTGAGAGGCCGAGACCACATCCCACAGCATCCAGTACCCGTCCTGCAGGACTTGCCCCTCCCTCCACACACACGCATGGTCCCGGGATTCTGTCAGCTGCAGTGAGACCCACCGCCGTGCTCACGGTACCACCCGTGCCTTGCTTCCCTGAATCTTGCTGCAGTTCATCACGTGTATTCACGGCACACACCGGGTGCACAGCTGCCCCCGGGGTCCTTCTTGGCCGAGCCTCGCCCACCGACTCTCGAGAGACACCTGCAGGGGCTTCAACCCAAGGCAGGGTGGCTGCATCGCACTGTGCTGGCCGCGGGCTCCAGGGCGGGCTCTGTCACTGCCTGCTGCAAAATGACAAGCCCATTCCCCGAAGCCCTCGTCCGTGCGTGCTTGGGAAGAAGACACAAGCTGTACTTTACAGCACCAACTTTTCAGCTGACCAAATAAGGACAATTGTTAGAAACCACCACTCACCACTATCGCCATCACGAAAGGTCGTTTCTCCACCAAACCGCTGGGAGGCGCCATTTCAGCCCCGACGGTGGTCAGCCTCACACCTCCGCCTGGCCCAGCCGCCGGAGGTGCTTCCTTCTCCCCTTCCCCACAAACCGTGGAGAGCTCGTTGGGGCTCAGGGGCTTCAAGATAGCGGCTCAGAAATGGGCCAAGTGGGGCCTGGGGAGGAGGGAGGCCGGCAGGATGGAGGCAGGAGGCCTAGGTGTGGGGGTGGTGGGACTAGCCCCAGACCAGGCTCTCCCTGGGGCAGGATGCTGCGATCCACGGCCTAAGGCCCCCATCCCATTGCTTGCGGAGGTCAGACCTGCAGTCAAGGGTGTTCCTAACTCAAGATCCACCCCAGCTGCCTGCCCTGATGGACACGTGCAGGGCCCTGGCCCAGGCCTAGGTGGAGGACACTGCCCCTCCCCACCAGGCTGCTGGGTCCAAGGGCCACACACCTGCATTCCTGCTCTGGGCAGTCCTGGGTGCCAGGACCTCTGTGCCCTCACTGCCCTTGTCCAAGAACCCACTGTGGGGGAAGGGAGTGTCACTGAGTGGGCCTTGGCCAGGGCGGGGGGAGGCTCTGAATACGCCCTCCCTCTGTGCTCTGCCTTGCCCAGCCCTGCCCTCTTCAAGGCCCAGCCCAAGGACCTCCCCACCTGGCTCCCCCACCTGCACTGGCAGGGCCTCCCGCCCTCAGCATCAGCCCCAACACCCTCCCAACGACGTCCACTGCTGGGCTGCTCAGGGGCCCAGGGCAGGGATGCCACACCCCGTGGCTCCATTGCCTCCGGCCTCCCGGACACAGTAAGGGCTCTGACAGTGGGCAGGGCTCCCCCAGTCCCAGCCTCTGTGGGGACAGTGTGGTCGGGGGACCAAGAACCTGGGGTGCTGACCCCTCCTGCCATCCTCCCCTGGGACGTGCCCAAGGGGCCCTCGCACACCAGGATCCCGTGCACAGCCGAGAAATCAAGGCCAGGACCCCCACCGCCCGGAGACTGCAGGCAGAGGTGGGCCAGGGTGCCTCGTCCTTCTCCCCAGTGCGCACCACGGGGGGCCAGAACCTCTGCGCCTTGGGGGGTAGCCCCTGAGGGCCAGGCAGAGGCCAAGGAAGGCACCCCCTCCCCATGCCCTGCTTGCCCGCCAAGATGCTGACACGGGCGGCTCCAGCCGCCTTATTTATTATCTGATAAAATGCTCTCGGCACCGTGGTGGACAGCGTCTGGCCTCGCCGGGGCGGCGGGCCTCGGGGAGGGAGGGAGGGGAGTGCAGCGTGGGGGCTGGCCACAGCGCACCTCGTCAGGGCAGGACGCGCTGAGAAGCCTCGTCCTCTCCTCCTGGCCAGCGGGCCAGAGGGCAGGAGCAGCTCGGGCTCGGAGCCGCCCCCAGTCCCCTGCATGTGTCCCCCTGCCCCTGCAGCCTACATCCCCTGGTCCCCGGAATGCCTCTCTTTCTGTCCACTGCCTCTTACCCAATTCCTGCCAAAGCCCACCCTAAGGTCTCACCTCGCCCCACTTACCCACTTGGCCCCAGGTGCAAACACCCTATGATGCAGATCTGGACCTGCTTCTCCATCCCTTCCAACCATCTAGCTCCCCTTCGGCCCCGGGTCCAGCCCCAGCAACCCACCACACATTCAGGCCTCCCAGCCACCTGCCCAGTGCCTCATTGCCTCAGGATCCCCTTTCCTGACACCCTCAGGTGTAAGTACCGAGCCTGTTCCCCTCTGGGCCTCCCACATCCTGTTCCCTCTATGCGTCCAGCGGTGAGGGGCACTCAGGGCCAAGCCCCTCTGGAGATCACCCACCACCACTCCA